TTCTGGCTGAGGGAAGGAGGTTCTCGTCCAAGATTTTACAGTACATGGCCTCGTCCATTTGCCCCTCAATGCGGTGAAGTCGACCTGTACCCTTAGTAGAAAAACAGCCCCGAAGCATAATGTTTCCATCTCCGTGCTTGACTGTAGGGATGGTGTTTTTGGGGTCATTTCTCTCCCTCCAAACACGGCGAGTCAAGTTAATACCAAAGAGCTCAATTTTGGTCTCATCTGACCACAACCTTTTCTGAATCATTTAGACGTTCTTTGGCAAACTTTAAACGGGCCTGTACATGTGCCTTCTTGAGCAGGGGGACCAGGATATTTTTGGCATAAATATCCAGTGCATGTCAGGGTGTATGCTAATACTTAATGAATTGTGACAAGTGTCACTTTGCAGCAATATGGGCAGCTCAGGGTTTTGGCTCGTGGGCCCTGCAAAATGTGGCTTCATTGGCACCATGTGAAAAGAAGCTGCTACCGTCGATTCATCCTGTGTTACTAATCCCCTCAATGAAAATTTGGTTTCATTCAGGCCGGTTTCACTCTGACAAGCGTGAATCCACCCCAATTTACCCTCTACGTGGGGTTTCCCTGAATGCACCCACCCCGTGCTGGTTTGATCTCAGCCCGCGTCTTTGCCTCAATGAGGCGCTTCATTAGCTTTAATATGTGAAGTGTGCCAAGACCTACCCAGCCACAACACGGCCCGGGAATGAATAACCCCCTCCGTGAGCGAACTGAATCTTCTTTTGTTGCTCTTGAATATTGCAGTACGTGGAGTGTGTGTGTGGGGGGGTTGGGTTCTGTGCTGGCGGTGTGTGTTCTGTGCGTAATTGGATTAGACTGAGTGCTGCGGATGTCGCCTGTCAATTAGACCTTTATGAACTGCACTTTATTGCCTGAGAATATTTCATGTACAATGAGCAGATTATATGAACAGACTGAGTAAAAGGCTTTAAATGAAACCGATTTCACACATGCATTATTGCAAAAATCATTATAAACAATAACCAAGTTTATTTATTGGAAACTAGTAATGAGTAATACAATTAAACAATTGATTTGTTTGGAGCTGATTGTTAATATATGTTGTTAGTATCATTACTCTTGTAATTTTAGTTGTGTGTATAAAATTCTTGAATGTTATGGAATAACAAACCAAATATTACAAGTGGGAAAAAAAATTCACTTTTCAGATTACAATCCCATATATTTTATGTATTATCCTTCTGGTGCTTTTTTTACAGTTTGGTTATTTAGAATTTTATTTTTTGTACTTCATTGGAATGGTATGACGTTTTGGCACTTGCTATGTGAAAACAAAAAAAACAAAAACCTCATGGACATGATTTGAAAAATAGTCATGCTTGTACAGTTCACAGTCAAAAATGACTAGCGAATTTCACCTAGGGAAATGTTTGGTTCTGTGCCCAAACAGAATCTTACTGAAAGCTTATATATACAGTATGTGTGTATATATAAAATAAATTTGGAATGCAACTTATTTAGATTCATGGCTTTAATGCAGTTTTGGAGTAAAATGGATTTTGGAAAATTTATTATACATTTTAAAATTTTGAAAAAATTATAAAAATTTAAAAATAGTATTTTTGTGCTTTATTTGTAATACTTTTTTTTTCATGTCAGCAATAATCTGCCAAATGCCTTCTTTATAAAGAGACTAAACTTAAGTTTGTGCTAAAATTTATTGAACTAAATATATAAAATATAGTACACTAATTTCATTTAAAAAATAAAAATCGACACACAAGCAGTACCAGAGGTTTAATAATTTACTTAATTTGCTAAAGCTATCTATCCATCCATATAGAGAGATTTGTTATACTTCCTATAGCTTTTAAGCAGTGGCAGAAAGGCAGCATTATATATTCCAATATATAATATTTTAATATATATATACTGATATTATTACCACTTCGGACACACTTGAATTTGTTTCTCATGATCTTAAAAAAAAACTCTAAACGTAAAAGCTTTCGTTTTTACAATTACGTTAATAAATTTAGAAATTCTCAAACTTTTTAATTTAAACTTTAATATAAAAACAGTTTTTATTATTATTTTTAACGGATGAATTCGACTGAACAGTGAAAGAAGCAGCCAACAAGTGTCATTCGTGTCATTTCATAGCTTTGAAGGCTGTACTACTACTCTGAAAAGTGGAAAGCATGAATAAAATGGTGTCTAACAAATATTTGTTTATTGATATGCGTAGTTGTGGCAGAAAGACAGCAATCTATGTTTACAGCAATCTATGTTTACCTCAGAGTGTCAGGAGGCCCGTCAGTGATCACTCACACGCATCTAATCCAGTTTTGATGAACTGGGTTAATAGACTCCCTGTGGTCATTATCAAAGAGACTCATTTCTATTCATTTCTCAGCGCACACGACCCTCACACACCCGCCCCTCATTATGTGTGGCCTCTCCCCAATAAATACAGCTCCTCTGTTCTCTAGAGGGACAGTTCATCCTCAAGCATTCAGAATGCCCCGTCCAGACGGCTCTTACGCACAGTTCATCTGGAGAGAGGCAGACAGAGCCCACTCGGACCCGTGTCCCGGAGCCACAGTGGGCTGGAGGGAGGAGAGGGTGCAGGGGAGGGCGAGCTGTGAACCATGCGCTCTGGTCCAGCTCCGGCTGTCCGGACTTGCATATCCTGACGAAGACCAGAGCGCCATCGCCCGAGCCCGGAGACGCCGCAGACTGGCCGCCAACGCCCGCGAGAGGAGGAGGATGCTGGGCTTGAATGTGGCCTTTGACCGCCTGAGGAGCGTCATCCCTAATGTGGAGAGCGACAGGAAGTTGTCCAAGTCTGAGACACTTCAGATGGCACAGATCTACATCAGCACTCTGAGCGAGCTGCTGGAGGAAAGAGACTGCGACCCGGAATTCAGTTACCCGATGTTAGCGACGGGCGTGCAGGATCAGGTCATTGTGAAGGGTTCAGTGCCAACCGAAGAGACCAAACCGGAGCAGAAAAACATTGCAACCTGTAGGATAAGATCATATGCTGGGAATTTAGTGCATCCCACTTGTTGTGACCCCAAAACACCTGAACTGTTAGTGGACTCTCACTATATGGAGAGGAGCAATGGAGCAAAATGACACTGATATTGCATTCAACTTTTTTTTTTTTTTATTATAAAAAATTCTGAATTAATGTTTGGACATTTTGTAGTGAAATATAAAATATTCTGGAATTAATTATATATTTTGCTTTTTTTATGCTATACAAATAAATATTTTCAGAGGAAAAATCTTGTCTTTTTTCTCTTGAGTTCACAATCAACTTTGTTTTGATAGTCCACTTTAGAGATTCTACTAACTCTTAAGTAACTTACAACTAACTTTCATTAGAGTATTAGTAGACTGTTGGCTGGTCTTTCGGGGAACCATCAAAATAAAATGTTTGCAGGTATTAAGCAGGCAGTCTACTGAAAGTTAGTCACAGTTAGTAAAAAGTCTAAAGTGGACTACCAAAAAGTGTCACCTAAATTTGTTAAAAAGTTGATTTAGTAGCAACCAGTGTTGGGGAAAGTTACTTTTAAAAGTAATGCATTACAATATTGCATTACTCCGTAAAAAAGTAACTAAATACGTTACTTAGTTACTTTTTATGCAAAGTAATACTTTACGTTACGTTTGAGTTACTTTTCTTAAATCTGCTTGTTTTTAATATAAAAAAAGTTATTTCTACAAATGTAAAAGCCCTTTCACACCAAAAGTGAAATGAAGTAAAACAAAGAAGAATATGACAGATGAAGAACGTTAACACTAAGCAAAAAAAAAAAAAAAACACCAACAAATGTGTCATTTTTGCTTAGTATGGTTGAATTGGATCATCAAAGGTCAGTAGCAAAGACACTGGTTAATAAAATGGGATTAAACACTAATTATATTTGTCTTATTTAACATTTAATTATTGCAGGTTTGTATAATATTCTGAGTTTGCATTTGACTGTTTTTATTCATTTTGAAGAACACCGAATCAGGGCACACAACGCTTCTGCACTTACTCCCGATTAGGGCTGTAACGGTTCACTCAACTCACGATTCAATTCATGATTTTGATTTCACGATTCGATTTTCTCACGATTTTGAACTAAATGAGATTGAAGAAATTACACCGTAAATGAAAAGCATACATGCAGCATGAGCAGTTTTTAATCTAAATTAGACTGAATAATTTCGAAATTTGAAGCAAAAACAGAATGGTCTGACTTTAGTTTTGTGAAATTATGCTACATAAAACATATCTGAACGAAACCGCAGACGAGCTGAATGAGACGCAAGTTCACTCTCTGCCAGCAGGTGGCACTTTATGAACTGCGACAACGCGACAACTGTTGCATACGGTGTAAACACGGTGTTAGAAAATCTGGAATCTGAGGGTGCAAAAAAAAATATTGAAATATTGAGAAAATCACCTTTAAAGTTGTCCAAATGAAGTTCTTAGCAATGCATATTACTAATCAAAAGTTACGTTTTGATATATTTACGGTAGGAAATTTACAAAATATCTTCAGGGAACATGATCTTTACTTAATATCCTAATGATTTTTGGAATAAAGGGAAATCTATAATTTTGACTCATACAATGTATTGTTGGCTATTGCTACAAATATACCGTGCTACTTATGACTGGTTTTGTGCTCCAGGGCCACATATTTGAATCGATTTTCAACCGGCTCGCGGTTCATCGTTAACGTAACATCCCTACTCCCGATTTCTCTCAACATGGCAACACAAGAGCTGTCAGTCAATACATGGGAAACAAAGTAACTGGCATTACTTATTTGAAAAAGTAACTCCGATATTTCCTTCTAAATTAAAAATGAATGCCTTACTTTACTAGTTACTTAAAAAAGTAATCTGATTATGTAAATCACGTTACTTGTAATGCATTACCCCCAACACTTGTAGCAACAGTAATAGCCTTGTAATATGCCAATCAGACACCAAAGATGACAAGTAAAAAGTACTGAAAGTAGCAATTTTATTTGCGTTAAAATTATGTACAAGTAACCAAAGACATTATTTTGAAATTGGTACAAATTTCATGTTCCTGCAGTTGGCTTTTCGATAACTCTTACCTCAAAAAACACAACTGAGAAAAATGCGGTATAAAATAAAACGATTGGATTCAGAAAAGTAGTCTATCTAGTTCTCCAACAGCCAATATTTACGAGTATTTACAGTTCGTGTTGCTTCATTCAGTTCCCCGCTGTGTGAATTCAATCCCGTTGTGATGTTTGGAGCGCAGATACAGACTGCAGCACTGTGCCCAGAACAGAACAGAAAATACTCAAAACTCATAGTGTTCCGTGAACCAAAACAGTTAAGCGGTGAGGGGGAAAATGATCCTTAGCTTTGCTTTCGTTAAGCTGTGTGCATTGAAGTTATTTCAGTCTATTTCAGTCATGAACAGCAGCTAAATGCCTGAAGGCGATCGCTTGAGAAGGCAGAAAAACAATAGAGCGCTTCTGAAAACAACCTTGAGAAGATCAGAACAAGTTTGGGTCAAAATTGGAATCTACTGGCCTTATCAGAGAGATGTCAAGTGCTAAATTCAATCTTGTACAAAAAACACCAACCATAAACAAAACAGGACTTATTCAGTGTGTAGTTTATGACACCAACTCTTGAAATGTAGATCCACGTTGACATGGATGTTGGCATCCAAAACCCAAGGTCACGGCTAGACGGAAACCAGCGTTCATCGAAACGGTTATTGCACTTATCTTTAATTATCACAGCAACTTCAGCTCTGACCAAACCTCAGTAGCAGTGCATGCAGAATTTTCGCTGAACTCAGGGTTACCATGTAGCCATGACCCAAACCCATGGATGACATTTCCTGGCTTCAAAAACGCATTTGAATTCATTCAAATTCCTAATCATTTCTCTCTTGCACAACACAGTACTGCAGCCAAGCATAATTCGGCATATTGCACGATTTAATAAGTCTGACTGTCGATTTTGAACCACATAAGGTTTGGACATCAAGTTTGTTAACATTAAAGTTAACGTTCTGGCATTTGGAAAATACGGTTAAAAATTACGACTACTACAACATTCTAAAAACGCTTTGTCCCTTTCCTGCCCTAGTGAAATGGGAAGTGATGTAATTTATTCCTTCGCAGACCTTTGACATAGCGATATCGATTAAAAACGAATTTGTGCAACACAAAGGGAGCACATCCTGAAGCGAAGAGAATAGATTTGAACCAGGAGGGCATGTCTTTGCGGCATTTCAAAGAGGACCAGAATTTCGAATGCGGTTTTGGATTCGCCCTCCAATCGTACAGGTCAGTGTTGAACGCTTTTAAATTCACAGACTTGAGAGTGGAATAAAACAAACAGAGGGGGAGACATCCTTTAACAAGTTTTATCAAAGCCACTCTCTCCATTTCTGCCAATGAAAACCAGCTTCCAAGGCGACTGATCAATAGACGCCAGATTAGGGAGGATTGTGATGCGAGGAACACAATTATTTCGTGATAAAAACATTTTAAGACGAAATAGGTGAACAGATTGTGACAAACTCAATCAAAACAGCTCCTTTTAATAGAGTTCTGGGAGTATGATGTGCTTTAGATTTAATTCTTTACAGTCTGAATGATGAAGGTACTGGTTGATGATGATGATGATGATGATGGTGGGTTGTTTTCCAGGTGTGTTGGGGTTGGGCAGCAGTGATCTGAAGTCTGTGTGTGGAGCTCTGCAAACACACTAGCAGTGTTCCAGATAATCAATGACCCTGGAGATAGACTTCTGTCCCGTGGTGCCCACATCACACTGTAAGGGACAAAAAAGACGCAACTGTTCAGTCAATAAGCATAACTTTATTGGTTTTCCTTACAAAATGAGGTAGAACATTAGTATTGATATTACAGCAGGATCACGCATATGCTTGCCTACTTGTTATATTCATGTCGCTTAATTTCTAGTGACAGGCCGTTTTATCAGTCGATATTTGGCCATTTTTCAGATTATAGTGGTTCAATTTAGCCAATTAACAGAAGTGGTATTTCTCTCATGGGTCACATTTTATTATAACGTGTCCTTATTACAATGTAATTACACAAATGCTAATAAGTAACAATTACCTTCTATAGGTTTAAGGTTTGGTTTGTAATTACGCATAATAAGAGCACATAAAACATATTACCCTCTTATGTAAAAGTTCCAAAAACAGAAAGCCTTGTCAATAGACAATAGATGCTTTCATTTTTGTAAAATAAGTGTTGATTTAATTCATCTTAAAAAAATAAAAAATAAAAATGCATTTACGGGAATAGTTGCTACTGCCGTTAAAAACACCTGAAAAAGTCTAGCTTTTTCAAGTTTCCTTCATTTGTATCTTTATTACTACTCTTTGTATCTTTATTTATACTTTCTCTTAATTTTTTTTTTACAGACTATCATTTAATTACTGAAAAAATGAAGGAAAATTTATATATAATAAATGTATTTAAATATAATCAAATATATATAAATATATATATTTAAATATATATTTATTTTATATATAATAAATAGCTATTACTTGTACTTATTGTAGATATTTTTTGTCATTTTAAAGAAACTGTGTGTGTGTGTATGTATTATTTTATTAAAGCATATAATAGAGTTATGCTGCAGGAAATAACATCATTTTTGAATGTACGGTTCAATCGTCCCAATGGTCTTTATTGTTAACACAACCCAATATTTTCAGGTGTTATTCTATGGACATGAAATATATCAGTAATACTCTCTTGTGTTTTTTTTAAAGCTTTTTCTTGTCTTAAAGTTGGTTGCTAACAAGTGGCTAAATGGGACTACAGAGGTTGTTAAAGACATTGCATTGTGTTTATACTCACACTCTTGCAAACTATCAGAACTCAAACTTTCCAACTTGTGATCAGAACCTTAGGTGATGGTGACATGGAAGTGAAGCGACTGTGACACATTCTGTTTAGAGCCTAGGTTCAGCTTTTTACTTCTGCCGATTCTATTTAGCTGGGTTAATTTGTTTGTCACAGAGCTTATTTTTTCCAATAAAAAAATTGGAGAAGTCCTATTGGCTTTGTCAATGGAACCAGGCTGATGCTAACTTCCAGGACTGCCACTATGTCATCCCTCACTCTATCATTCTATAAACGAATTGTGATATTCTGTTGCATCAATTACTGAAATTGATATTGTAGCAATCATAATATAAGCCACCACTGGTCAAATCGCTAACTCTTGTGCACTTACTGTAAGGTTCATGAAATTCAAGAACTTCTTCAGCATCTCTGTCATGACTGAAAAATCCCCTTTTGGCAGGTTTTCCCTCACAGTAGTCACATTCATCTGAAAGAGAGACACAGCATTAGCAGCTCATTCCTCCCATGAGGTTACAGTGCACTTCAGGCCTGCGCTGAAAGAGAGTCTGGAGATTTTTAAAGTACGTTTCTGTTGATCAAAGTAGCAGCACTCCATCTCTGGCCATCATTTTTTTCTCGATGCGTTCTGAGTCTCCATGGTACTCAATCTTCAGAAACCGATACAAATCAAATATTTCCCTCCTCTGACGCCTCCTAACACGAATCTAAGCTGCAAACAGGAAGATGCGCTTTCCTAAAGAAACCCTATTTTGAGTCAATCTGTTTTTCCAAAACAGAATCAAACTTGACCTTCAAAGTGTGCAAACATGTATAAATGCCATCTCTTTTTGTGTCTGTGTCTGGGCCCCGTTTATTGCCGAGACAGATAATGGCCGTGTACGTCAGTCAGAAAGCAACAGAGTTAGCAGCTCATTCCTCCCATGAGGTTACAGTGCACTTCAGGCCTGCGCTGAAAGAGAGTCTGGAGATTTTTAAAGTACGTTTCTGTTGATCAAAGTAGCAGCACTCCATCTCTGGCCATCATTTTTTTCTCGATGCGTTCTGAGTCTCCATGGTACTCAATCTTCAGAAACCGATACAAATCAAATATTTCCCTCCTCTGACGCCTCCTAACACGAATCTAAGCTGCAAACAGGAAGATGCGCTTTCCTAAAGAAACCCTATTTTGAGTCAATCTGTTTTTCCAAAACAGAATCAAACTTGACCTTCAAAGTGTGCAAACATGTATAAATGCCATCTCTTTTTGTGTCTGTGTCTGGGCCCCGTTTATTGCCGAGACAGATAATGGCCGTGTACGTCAGTCAGAAAGCAACAGAGTGGTATGAGAGAGAAACAGAGGAGTCCATTACAGCCGACTCTACAGCCCACCTATTAACGTCCTGAAAATAAATCCATTAATACTGCCAGACACAACATGGGCAGCTTTCTTCTGATACCTGCCCTGAAACTAGAAAACTGCAATTTAGACAAACAACACTCAAACCCTGCAAAAGCAAAAGGAATATTAACAACAAGAACTCTGTACCAGTAAACGCTGTACTCTTATTGGTCTAGCCTGGGTTTGTCCTGACCTTAAAAGTGACTGTGGCCTCATTCCACTACTGAGGGCACAAGCGGCACTTGTCCAGGACAGAAAGGGTATCTAGCCGAACAGTGGTAGTCTTAGCAGAGCTAAATGCATACCTGACATTAATAATAAACAATACTCTTTGCACTTTATGAGGAAAAGCAGGTTCTGAGCAGACAGAGCCAGAAGACATGAATCAAAGATACAAAACGGGAAACATTGAGGTGAGGTGAAATAAGTGTGTTACTTACAGGGCTCCCCTGGCACAGACAACCCAAAAGCAGTGCAGTGTATGACGCCACAATACTGTCCTCCATGTGCTTGCCAGCATGCTGAAGAGCTGGAGAGAAAAATCACATGACAGGCTACTTAAAATGGGCCTTTTTCAAAAATATCAGATTTTTTTTTATCTCGTAAAAAAAGAACATTCTATGTTTATTTAAATAAAGTTTAAATGAATGTTGCGAGTTAACTTTTTATTCACTAAAATGTCTTCATTTCAAACAAGCTTTTAATTACATTATTGGTCACAAGTTTAGAATAATTACTTTTATTAATACTAATTATTAATATTATCATTTAAAATAAACAGTTTTTGCTGTTAAATACATTTATTTGTGGAAGCAGTGATGCATTTAAAACCATCCAAAAGTTTAGGATAGATTGCTTAGAATGTATTTAAGATTATACAACCCTAATAAAGCAGACTGCCTCACTTATTTTACAGAATGTACATAAACACGCTGTATATAATGGCTTGTGCTTATATGGTTTCTCATGTCCTTTTTGGGAAAAACAAGAGGAAAAGAGGAAACACGCTCCGCCGGCACAGATGTTACAAGGACACACATATTTGCTAAGTTTGCTACGCCACTATGTTTGTTGAATACCAAAAGAAAACACCACACAATTAAGACTGAATACACAGGAAGATGAAGGTCTAGTACAAGCAGCTGCACTCGCTGACTACAGATGACAATTACATAATATTTCCTTGCATTAGACTAGCTTTGTATCTTAAAGCAGAAGAAAATATCCGGAATTGCGCAAATGTCAGAAAAAGAACTAAGTGTGCTTTGGATTCTTGACGCAGGAGCTAAATGCATCATGACTACAAACATATATTCTGTTTTATTGATCTGTGGCACATTCATTTGGATTCTTTACACGTGTAATGATGTCCAGTGACATGTTTGCATCATTTATGCATTATTTTATTAATTTGTAAGACTTTTTTATGACTAAATTTGGTAATGGGAGAGTAAAAATATTTTTAAAACGTACACCATTCAAACTAGGCTGCTTATGTTGAAGTGTTTGGGATGTGGCTTTTAATGATGAGACCTTTTTTGTAATCAGGCTCTCAAAAAGTATATAACAATTTGGATATAGATTTATCGGCCAACATATCGGTTATCGGCTTTCAAAAATAAAGAATAATCGGTTATCGGTATTGGCCAAAATTTTCATATCGGTGCATCCCTAGATAAAAGGTATATTTTCCATGTTAATCAGAGTTTTGTCCAAACTAGCCGTGACGGCGTCATGCGACATTTCTATTTTAGAAACTTTTTCTATTTCTGCGACATCGCAGCTGGAACAACAACATACAAACTATATGGCAGTGATAATCTCAGGTACTGATTATGTGCTTTATTCAAAGTTAAACGTGTCTAATGTGAGTTTGAATATCATTTTGCGTGACCATATAACTATACTGAAAGCAACAACAGATAGTTTACCTTAGATCTCAAAAATAAATGAAAGTGTATAAATTAACGTACCTTAAAACTGCGAACAAAAATACGAACCAACAAGCGTTTTTCCATGACAAAGATGGTCTCAGTCACTCAGTATGTCCATTTAATGATGTAAAAAATATTTATGAGTTCGATTATAAACTTTCGATTATAAAAACCATTTCGTTGCGAGTGCAGTGCGCTTCCAGAGAGAGAGAGATCACCCACACACGCTTCTGACTGGCTGTAATATTTGATTGATTCTGTCACGTTGCGTTTGGTGTGGACAGCCAAATTGCTTGTCGCTGGAATCTTGTCGCATCGCATGTAATTAGGAGAGGGTGTTATGGGTTTGGAATGAGGCTAAGTAATTGATGACAATTTTCATTACTGGGTGAACTATTCCTTTAAGAGTAGCTTTGTAAGTTATAGTTTCAAAGTAGCTTTTTTTAACACTGTTACTTTTACAGTGCATTCCTTCACAGTCCAAGTGGAAGGTTTGTTTTGTTAAACGTCCTCGTCTTTGTACTGACCGTTGTCATGTGTGAGATTTAACAGGACCCCGATGATAGCTCGCATACAGTCTTCTACAGCTTTGCCCACGTTGCTGTTGCTGCAGTAGGGCAGCGGTGTGCCCGACGAGCACAGGCCTCTGTTCACCTCTCGACTGTACCTCTGGATCATCTCCTCACAGTGCCATAACGCTCTAAAACAAACAGACGAAACAAAAATGTTATGTCCTTTCGAAGAATTAGTGCAAATTATTTTAGTATCCAAAAACATCTTGAAGGGACAGATCACTGAAAAAATTTACAATTCTTTCATTTAGTACTCTTCCTATCTATTTTCTTACACAAAAGTTATTATATTGCTTTAGATATCTTGTGTAGTGCACAAGTCAAACAGCTTTCATGGTGTTGTATCCCCCTTTTCATTCACATTCATTACATGGAAAAGAGCAGTGTGAACTAGGGCTGGGCGATAAACTATGGAAGCCCGTTTCCCCACTGAATAAAAAAATATATAATTCTGTAAGTCATAATAATGAGAACCTTTCTAAAAATTATGACTTAGTATCTCGTTATAATGAGAAACTTTCTCATAATAATGACTTAGTTTCTCGTAATAATGAGAAACTTTCTCGTAATAATGACTTA